GTTTCAGTTATGCAGCTGGGTAGTGGTTTCACTGGTATTCATTATAAATTAATAAATACATAAATAAGTTTTTGTAGTGTGGGGATTGAACTCAGGGGCACTCTACCATCTGAGCCACATCCCCACCCCTTTTTATATTTTATTTAGAAACAGAGTCTCACTAAGTTGCTTAGAGTCTCACTAAGTTCCTTAGAGCCTCTCTAAGCTGCTGAGGTTGGTCTTGAACTTGCAATCCTCCTGCCTCAGCCTCCTGAGTTGCTGGAATTACAAGTGGGTGCCACCATGCCCAGTTGATACATGAATAAATTAAATAAAAGTAGGGACATATGGATCAAAGATGAGAATGTATTAAAATACATGCACACACACATGAATTGGGATTGATCTATTTCTGTGTACCAAGGTTCAGATTTTAAAAAGAGGTGTGTGCTGGGACAACTGGATTTCTACATGCAAAAGTATGGAGTTGGATCCCTACCTCACACCAGATAACTCAGAATGGATTCATGACTGGAGTGTAAGAGCTAAAGATCTAAAACTCTTGGGCTGGGGATGTGGCTCAAGCGGTAGTGCGCTCGCCTGGCATGCGTGCGGCCCAGGTTCAATCCTCAGCACCACATACAAAGAGGGATGTTGTGTCCACCGAAAACTAAAAAAATAAATATTAAAAAAAAAAAAGAAAAGACTACTTAAAAAAAAAATCTAAAACTCTTCAAAGTAAAGGTGAATCTTTGTGACCTTGAATTAGGAAATGGTTTCTTAGGCACGATGCCAAAGCACAGACCACAAAAGAAAAAAAAATAGATAAATTTGGCAATCAAAATAATAGTAAAATAAGGGGCTGGGATTGTGGCTCAGTGGTATAGCGCTCACCTAGCACGGTTAGGACCCAGGTTCGGTCCTCAGCACCACATAAAAATAAAGGCATTTTGTTGTGTCCATCTACACCTAAAAAAATAAATATTAAAAAATAATAATAGTAAAATAATAAAAAAATTAAAATGTATGTACTTCAAAGGATGGACAACATTAAGAAAATAAAAAGACAACCTACAGAATGGGAAAAAATTGTAAATCATATATCTGATAAAAGACTAGTGTCCGGAGATATAAACCATTTTTACAACTCAACAGTAAGAACCCCCCCAAATGTCCAATTGAAAAATAAGCAAAGGCTCTGAATAAACACTACTCCAAAGAAGGCATAAAATTGGCCAGTGTTATAGATTTTTTTTGGTGCCAGGGGTTGAACTCAGGGGCACTCCAGCACTGAGCCACATCCCCAGCCCTGTTTTATTTTATTTAGAGACAGGGTCTCACTGTGTTGCTTAGCAGCTCCCTGTTGCTGAGGCTTTGAACTTGTGATCCTCCTGCCTCAGCCTCCCAAGCCTCTGGAATTACAGGTGTGCACCACTGTGCCAGGCCAGTGTTATAATTTTGATCTAGAAGGTCCTTCAAAGTCCCAAGTATACAGAGGTGGCACTTTCAGGCAATAGCTGGACCATGAGCACTCTGACCATTGACAGCTGATAGGACTCCTGGGGTGGGACCCATTTGGAGGAGGTGGGTCACTGGGGACATGCCCTGGAAAGGTTTATTTTATTTGATTTTTTGGTACTGGGGATTGAACCTAGGGGTACTCAACCACTCGTCACATCACCAGCCCCTTTTTTGTATTTTATTTAGAGACAAGGTATTGCTAATTTGCTTAAGGCCTTGCTTTTTCTGAGGCTGGTTTCGAACTCACGATCCTCCTGCCTCAGTCTCCCTGCCATACCTGGCCCCTTCATCTCCTCTCTGCCTCCAGGATGCTCTGAGCCAAGCAGGTTCCGCCACATTGCCCTTCTGCCATGTTGTTCTACCTCACCTCAGGCCCAAAGAAATGCAGCCAGCTGACCATGGACTCAAACCTCTGAAACTGTGAGCCAAAGTAAACATTTCGTTATTTTGGTTGCAGTGACAAAAAATTGACTAACCCAGCCAATAAGCCCATGGCTGCTTGATATCATCAGTCATCAGAAAAATGCAAATCAAATCACGAGGTCCCACTTTGCTCCTATTAGGGTGGCTCTTTAAGACAAGACAGTATGTTGGCAGAGAAATGGGAACTCTCCGATGTCAACAGGGCATGTATCATATGATGCAGTAGCTTTGAAAAAGACGGGTCTTTCCTCAAAAAAATTAAACATTAAATTATCATATAGTGACTCTTTGTCATATACCCAAGGGAAATAAAAAAAAATATGTCACACAAAATCTCATATGAAGATGTTCACAGCAACTTTATTTCTAATAACCAGAAGTGGAAACCACCTCATGTTCATCAACAAGTGAGTGGATGAAAAACTGTGGTATATACATAACATGGAATATTATTAAGCCTTAAGAAGGAGAGACCAGGGCCGTGGTTGTAGCTCAGTGGCAGAGCGCTCACCTAGCATGCGTGAGGCACTGGGTTCGATCCCTGGCACCACGTAGAAATAAACAAATAAAATAAAGGTATTATGTCCATCTACAACTAAAAAAAAATTTTTTTCAGGCAATAGAATAATACTCAGCCTTAAAAAGGAAGAAAATCCTGACCTGCACTGTGCTGTGGGAATCTTAAAGGTATTGCACACCAAGTATGATATGAGTCCATTAACTTGAGTTTCCTTGAGTAGTCAAATTCAGAGACTGGAATTTGGTGGTTGCTTGAGGCTGGGAAGATGGGAAAGTTCTGGAAGCTGATGGTGTTAATGGTTGGGCAACAGCATGAATTCACTTAATGCCACTAAACTGTACATTTAAAAATGGATAAGATAACCAGGCATGGTGGGCACATGCCTGTTATCCCAGCAGTTCTGGAGGTTGAGACAGGAGGATCAGAAGTTCAAGGCCAGCCTCAGCAACTTAGTGGGACCCTCTCTTATAATAAAAAATTAAAAGGGCTGGGGATGGGGCTCAGTGGTAAGGTGCCCTTGAGCTCAATCCCTGGTATGAAAAAAAATCAAAATCCAAAAATGGATAAAATAGTAAATTTTGTTACATATTTACCACAATGAGAAAATAAAAATAAATCTTATACCGGAAATGACTGCTGATGGCTACAGGGCTTCTTTTGGGAGTGATGAAAATGTTCTAAAATTAATTGTTCCAATGGTCGCACCATTCTACAAATAAACAAAAAAACATTGATTTGTACAATTTAAGTTGTTGAATTGTATGACATGTGGATTATAGCTCAACAAAGCTTTCCTTCTTCTTCTTCTTCTTCTTCTTTTTTTATTTTTTAAGGAAGAAAAGAATAGATCCCCAGAGAACAATGCACTTAAAAACTGAACCAGGCGGCGGAATCCTGTGGACAAGGTCTGCCCTTTGCAACTTTGCATGGTGGACCCCTGACAATCGCAGGCAAATATTAGGTACTTCATAAGAGAAAAGCTGAGGAAAATTCCCAGGACAAACACATTCCTGCTGCTTT